CTGCACATTTCTTTATGTTTAGATCTAATTTTTTATTGAGACACCATGCAGAGAGCTGATCTATATCGTGCTGAAGTGCCTGGATATCTGAGTCGTTTACTATCGCTCTGCATATTTTCAAATCGTCGGCGTAAAGAAAGTACTCCGAGCTGAAGTTCGTACCAATATCATTGATAAATATGTTAAACAGGACAGGTCCAAGATGTGATCCTTGTGGTACTCCTGTTTTTACATCATAACTTGCAGACAGGTGACCGTTTACTCTGACTTGGAGCTGTATATCTATTGGGTAGGAGCTGAGCCATTTCAGGGCATTACCTTGTACGCCGAGCGAATTTAGTTTATTCAATAAAATGCTGTGATTAACTCTGTCAAAGGCCTTACTAAAATCAGTGTAAACAACATGTACTCTGTGCCCATTGTTCATTTCACTAAGTACATAGTTGACATATGTAAATAGATTTGATGATGTCGACCTCCCRCGAGTAAATCCATGTTGTCTATTGGTAATAATGTCTGTAAAGAATAAACTCAGCAGAGGTAAGACTAGTTTTTCAAATAACTTCGCTAGCGCAGACTGAATACATATTGGTCTATAGTTTGAGACTTCTGATTTGGGTCCATCTTTGTGTATCGGGCTAACATATGAAAGTTTCCATATTGTAGGGAAGGCACCCTGTTGTAGTGAGACGTTGAAGATGTGTGTTAGTGGTTCACAAAGTCCTGCTGCACAGCACTACCACTTTATATTCAAAACTCATATTTTAAATATAAAAATTGATGTATCGTCATCTAACCCTACAAAACAATGTATGATCAAAAATAAATGGAAATCGCTGACAGATATAGTAACTAAATTTTATGCATTTTATAACGAAAACTGAAATTTTGTTTCAATATGAGTGCATGGTAACCAACAAATATAACCACTTTATAACAAAAACTCAACACATTTTTTTATTTTTACGCAGAAAGGAGTACTACGCGAAAGTACTTCAGTCCCCCCGGATATTCGCTCGGCCACGGTTATTTTTTTAAAGCGCCGTCGAAGGCCGCCAACACAGAAAGGAGTTGTAGGATCAGGAAGAGTTTTTTCCAACCGCGTTAGTTCAACGAAAAAACAATGATTTAAATTAGAAAGTGGGCTGTGTAATTAAATTGGAAGTAGAAAATAGAAAACTTGTCACCTTGGTGGTTAGCAATAGATCACATTATTTAATGCAAATGAAATGTAATTAGGTACAATGATTARGCTTGTGCTAAGAGTCACACAAAAGGAGTGAAAAAACTCTCRCTGTTACTTTGTTGCGAACATATGTAGGCATGCATACGTGTGTATATACAAATGAGTTATGTAGGAGCATTATACACATACAATTTATAATACCTTAGTTTGTTAGTACAATTGAGTTTGTGGTCTTATATATGAGCAGGGATGGGCACGACCACAACCAAACGGCGCTCATAAAATGACAATGTGTTAGTGTATTTACTGTGTGACAAAGCGAATCAACGATCAGAAATAATCAGTCTGCTTACAGAAGTCGAATAAGTAGGTTTATGCTGCACGAAGTAGCGCATGCTACATACGAATATACATACGTGTATGTACGACGTAATTTTGTAATATAAAATATTAAAACTTCAATTGATTACCGAAAAACTATTAAACTTAAAATTTTAACTAAAAATTGATTCATTCTTCGCTACAATATAATATAATTGACGACCTCTTTATAATCTAAATCAAAATATGATACTTTCATTCTAATATAATATAACTGACGAGTTTATCATAATCTAAATCAAAATTTGATACTTTTATTCTAAGCAGGTCTTCTAAATGTTTATCTGTTAGCCCTTTGAACGATATTAACTTTGCCATATTTATGTATCCAATACGAGTACTCGCAGATACGTACATTCATAAATCACAAAGTAATGCGTACAGGTGTACTTAGCTTGACTTCTGATTGCAGACTGATTTCACTATCGCTTTGTGACAAAGTTCGTCCCATCGTAAGTGCTCGTTTTACTCTCTTCGTTGGGCGTGTTAGTGACAATCCGTGTGTATACGTATACGATCACTTACGCTCTTTTAGCACCTGCTATGACTTTGCCCATCCCTGTATATGAGTAACTAAACTTAAAATAACTTAATAACTAATAGGGTGTAACGTTAGTTTACCCAACAGGAGTACGCCAGTCATACCAATATGTTATAAATTTTATATATCATAGAGTTTTAGTTATTTGTGTTTATTAAATATAAATCACATACTATACATATACATATGTAGATAGATTAAAAATGTTGGAAAGTACTCTTTATTGTAATTAATATAGAAAAAAGAATCACGCAAAAAAAAAACAAACAAAGTAAAATCCTTAAGAATCCTACATATTCGGTGTTTAAGATGTTTCAACGCTTTTTTTCCTCCTAAATGTAAACAATCTAAAGTTGCAGTGAAGAGTGAGATAAGTGATTTTTAAAGTAATAAATTTAGGTAAAATATTACAAAATAAAATTGAAATGTGAACTTGTTTCACTTGTTTCAATGTTTAGAGTGTATATTTAAATATACAGAATGAAAAACGCGAATAAATTTCGTAAAAGATAGAGAAATACCATGTGTTATTTGTGCAATTTTTTTAAATTTTAATTGTGATTTTAAAAAATATAAGTTATTTTTACATTATTTTTCTATATTCCTCCTCTGGAGAAGCTCCCCTATCCTCACATACCCCATTTATACGGAAATTCGGTTTTTTCTACCCCTCCGCCAAAGTAATCGGAATCGTGCCGAAATATGGAAATTTTAAAGTATAAAAACTGCTTACAATGTGTTGGAAAATAAAAGTGAGAATTTTATGAAAAAATACGAAAAGAAGGATTGACTTATTCCCCGATGGTCCTGATTCCCTGATAATATAATATTTAATACAAAATTGTATTGCAATTCCTCTTTCATCTTAACGCGCATTCCAAATAGTAATGCTGCGTTTGTGTGACTTTAACACTGTCGCATCAAAGTAAGCAGTGCCGCAGGAATTTCACAACGAACGAACCTCAATATTTGACTTATTGCTAAACACCACTATCAACCATCACTCTATCACTTCAGTGCTTTACTAGTTTAATAGTATTTTTGGAGTTGTATACTTTTTGGTATSCTCTATACTTTAATTTTGCGCTAGATTCTAAAATATTACATTACGTTCATCAGAGTAAAAAATTCCGCTAAAGCACAAGATAATCTTTTTTTTTTTGGGCGAAGTCAATGTGTTTTCTACGGTTTATTATCTTTTCGAGTGGTTTTCGACGAAGCTTGTGAGATTTCAACCTAGCATTAATGATGCTTTTCGCTCAGTTTCGAGAATATCTTTTTTTTTTACTGAATTGGTGAAGCTGTGTGGTGATTCGTGGGCAGTTACGAATGGATCTGCCGTGACCATTTTATTGATTTTTAGCTGATTACCATCTGTGAGAATTGAAAATCGTCCAGATTTTTTCTACACAGATTAAATTTTTAAAGAGCGAACGGTTATAAAAATTCTTTCGTGTAAAAWTTTTTACTATATTCGGTAAGCCAAAATCAGCTAAGAACCGAATTTATGACCATAGTCGCAAAATTAGTACAAGTTAGTGCAATTTTGGCCAAACACTGGGGAGTCCTATTAATTCGCATACAACTCAATATTTATATATTTCTCCAAATTAAAAATAATATTGGATTAACAATTAGGGCAGACGTATGAGATACTCTTGAGAAAAAGGCATGTTTTATCTCTAGTGTCCGCTTTCTTTTAAGCATACTATGGACAAAAAACGATACACAAAGTAGGCAAGTATATTTGATTATTATTACAATTACTTTTTATTTTAATAAAAGATGTGATACCAATAGTTATAACATAATACTATGTATAAAGATTTATATAATTTAACATAGTTCTTTATATATTTTATCGTCTTCATTGCACTCAATAGCGAAATATGTCAAAATGTGCTTATAAAAAATGTTTGATTATCACTTATTCCGGAATAACTGATAATATTATATTAATGCATACAGGGAACAAACTCGCAAATTATTAAAGGTAGAAAATATTCTGGAAATTTTAAAGAATGCTGCCGAGTTGATAGCCATTAGCCGAATTAAAACCAAGGTCCCGACCATCATAGGAACATCTGTCACACCTCAATGTCCAATGAAGTAACGATCGGAATGCTTTTTTTGCACTTAATTAGTTTTTTGCATCACTTTATGTCCTAAGCTTAACGCACGGCACTTACAAATTATTGCATATTACTCTAAAATAATCACAGTAACAAATTATATATATTCTTTAGTTATTAAAAAAAACTTTATTTTAATGTATAAAATTATTACACAGAAGTATTTAAAATTTTTTTTGAAAATAAAAAAGAAACTGTTTGCATTGTATAAGGCATAGTCCATTTAATTTGTTCTATAATTTGGATTTTAGATTCATTCATTGATTTTTTTGGATCTAAACACTTAGGACAAAATTTATCACTTGAAATGTGGTCAACACATTCTAAATGGCAAGCGTGTTGACATAAAAAATAAATAGACGGTAGACTTAGCTTACATTTACAAATAGCGCACACACTGTTTCTAAATTCAATGGGACACAATCTAAAACTAGATAAGGAAGCAATAAAAGTTCGCAGAGAATTAATCATAACTTTAACACCGATACATGATTTTGTTTTGAAGTCTGATTGACTTTTGCAAAATAGTTGCTTTAAGTGAATTACATTAAAAAATTTTGTAACCGATATTCCTTGAACTAGTGTTAGGATATTTTGCTTATTTTCATTAAGCACATTTGTTATTATACGGTCTAAATGAACTTTTGCGATTTCCGAGCTACATTTCATTATATCTATTGTCTGCAAACTAATATTTTTCTTCGTAATACTTATTTTCTTCACATTGGCATTATCTAAATCGTTATACTTAATGCAATATCTAAAATACATTTGTAACATTTTAAAATTTTCGCACAAGTAAACAACTCCTGGCCAGAACGAATAATTTACAAAGTGTATTAAAATTTTTTCCGAATATGCTCCATAATTTTTGTTTAAAAAGTTTATTATAGTTGAAATATTTTTTCTTTCACTGTACCATTCAAGCAAATGTAATTCTAGGAGAACGTCAAATACTAACGATTTATTATGGACAGATATCAAATATTCCAAATATTCAATACAATTTGATTGTGTATTAATTAAAGGTGATATATAACGTATAGGATTTTTTGACACCTTAAGCAAAGCAAAAATATTTTTCCAATGTTTCGAAATTAGCATAGGCTGGTTTGTTATAGCATAATACAATTCATCCTCATAGGTTTCCGACAATGTGCAAATTGTTGTACCATTAAAACAGTTTTTAGAAAATTCACTTTCATAGGAAACGACATCTGCACTAGAGTTAAAACACAAGTTATTTCTTATATTACAACTATTCATAAGTTCCATTTGAGCATTTGAAGTATTATTAACATTTACTAAATAATTTATGTAATACGATAAATGATAACTGTACTCTGCATTTAAAAGTCTCTTTATGATGAAGAAGGGATCTATTATGCCTATCGTTTCCTTATATTTGGAGGTAGCAGATGTCAAGTCACCTTTAGACAGTAGGTAATCTCCAAAACTCAACAAAATACAACCAACAAAAGCTTTTTTTTTCTTACAAAGGCTTAATGCAAGGTCAAACAAATTATTATTCATTAACGTTAATATTTTGTTAAGAAGACTTCGTTCCTTAGTAATGTAAATCGCATTACGCATCAAAATGTAGCAAGATATTTCATTGGATACCAATATATCTTTGTTTA